TTTGCTCTGTGTTAATATTGTTTCTATTTTGGGTTTGCCTGTACTTGGCAGTTATATTTAATACTGTACATGTATAAGTTTAGTTAATCTGTTTGTGTACTATTTTTAATTATTATTTCATTATTATTATATGTATAATCAGTGTTTGCCTCTTATTGGCTTCTTGCTGTTGGCAAACACTTAAATAAATTAATTGAATTGAATTTAATTGAATTATATGACGAAGACAATTGGTTAAACAGTTTAAAAGAACTTTCATGCAGAATAAAACAAGAACATATTTGTGAACAGTCATAGCTACCAACACAACAAGAAATGATTTCTACACGCGTACTGAGGCTGGCCGAATGTTACTTACGACACTTTCATTTCAAAATGGCCGTGGACCACTCGCTCAGATATTCATGAAACGTCTTCTTTATCTTCAGTCCCAACAACATCGCAATCTGGCGACGTTCCTTTGTCCCTCAGTCACGTGACCGGTGTGTTGTCTTGGCGTCTGCATTTTATATCATTCTGTGTATAAGAGTTGCATGCACTAAATCAACATTATCAAGAGCTGGAACGTGGCTGAAGTTGAAATTTCAGGTCCTCACGGCTACGAGTGTGAAGATGGCTGTCTTCTCGTTTGTTTCGCCGTGTAGTCTTGTAGCAAATGGCTGACGTTCCACAGGTGCCTCGATCATCGGGGCAGTGAAACATCGTGAAGGCATCAATCTCATCTGAACGTTAGCCAGTTTCTACCAGATTACACGTCGTAACATGTCAGAAGATAGCAGTCATCTTTGTTAAAGTTTATCAACGCGTTTTATTAGTGTAGATTCTGCTGTGGAGTTGCGAGATGGCGGTTGGAATAGATTTCCCGAAGACAAGAAAACTAAATCATTTAAAACAGAATACAGATGACATACTTCTCTCCTTATTTGAAGCATTCAGAATTTTTTCCATGTTTTGTAAGACAATTTAGGTATGTGATTTAATGTGCATCTGTCTATATTTGTATATTTTCCTTATAATAACTAGAGAACCAACTGACTAGTTTTCATGGACCATGGTGGTTAGATAATTACACTGGTTGTGAATCTCAGTGATCTGTTTTACTGTGAATAGACGGCAGTCTGAGCTCCGGAGCCATTTTGTGTCTGCATCCCTGGAGATCAACCCTGAAGAAATCGAACCCCGGCTGTCTGGTCCGTACGTCATCACACTACTGACTAAGTTATCAGGACTTATACAGGCTGAAACAAAATTCGCTCACAATCTCTATAGCAGTGGTATTCAACCTTTTTTGTTCTCGTACCCCCAGACATAATTTCTCTTCAACTTTGTACCCCAAAAATTGTTGATGTATAATTCAAGTTATACATAGTATATAATCTACATCTAAAATAAATTAAGTAAATTACATTGCTGATTATTCAGTGTTTATCATAAAATAATTTTTTTTAATTTCACGTACCCCCTAAGATGTATTCGCGTACCCCAGGTTGAAAACCACTGCTCTATAGTGTGATTCATTTAAAATAAAAGTCGAAAATGTTACACCACATGTCCTGTGACGTTAATTTTCGTAATATGATCAAACCATGATAGAGTTTACCAGTCATCCTGTCAGGTAGCAAACAGGGGACCACGACAATGTCTCCGGTGATTCCAGCCCAAACACTGACGCAGAAGCGGATAGCATGAGGATTATCCCGGGCCCAGAGGTGGCTGTTGTCCTGCGTAAAACACGCTATGTCTCTCTTTCGAATGTTGTGTAAAAAGAGCTAATCTGCAGCGTGTTCATATCGTAACTATTCCCACATAAGACAATTGTCTACAAACACGTGCGTTTAGCGAGGAGTGGAATGGGTGTGTTACGGCAGCTGGCTGCAAGCCTTGAACGAATGAATATATATGAACTTCCAATTAAATACAATATTCCATGTTTCCTGTGTTTTGTTTATCCAAATCGTACTAAACACTTGGATTATACGAACTCGTCTTCGATTATCTTCGTTCATATCATGCAAGATAAGCAAATCGTAGATGACGAAGTCCTGGTCTGTGGCGCTGTGTGGACTCTGACTTCATTGCTAAAGACAGAGACAGTTTGTTTCTCCGTAACGTTGGTATGACCTACCTGTGACTCCACGCGGCGTAACAACTAAGAACACCTACAATGTCAATTTCTCAGCCGTGAGAATTACGTACACCAAGATTGATGTTCAAACTGCAGACTTTGGATCCAAAACAAGACTGACTGATCCATGATATTAATGAAACTAAACCATCAATACATAAATCTCGCCTGTTGTTTTCATATGAAGTGTAATTATTTGACTGCTAAATGACGACAGAATGCCAGAAATAATGTTGTTGGTTTCTGAAAGCAAAAACAGTTCAGTTATATACTGTTTTCTGTCTCTGGTTCTCTTTTAGCTGTTAAACTGTCTTGAAAATGACCAGGACACTGAATAGCTTGATAGTGTTTTAAACATTTTCGTCTTGTTGTCATTTGGGAACACGAAGGTTGTTACATGTCGGAATATCATAATTGATTGATAACAGATTCCTTAAAATATGGCTGTATAAACGAATCTGTCTTTTTAGAAATGTTATAATTGATGTAAATCCTAAAATGAAATTGAATTTTTAACTGGGGAGAAAATCGCGTTTCAGCCTCCACTCTGATGTGCTGCTAATGTGTACAATTAGGAGTGACCGTAATTTCGTTGCCAACTATTGAAAACACGGCGGTAAATTGTGGTGGCGAAACTGTATCAGGACTACATTCCTTTCCTCGACTTTTTGTTAGTGCTGACGATGATGGAACTGGATTATATAATACACGGGGTCATCCAGTCAGCCAGCCTGGCTTCTGGACATTATTACAAGGTGCTGTTTCTTAGCTGGTTATTCAATTGCGTTCTTGCTATTCGACATTCTTCTGCAGTCTTGTTGTTTATTTTCTGAAGATACAGTTCTGTTGATGACAAAGATAATCAACAACGCAGGTACTAAATATACTTAAACATAACTTATTGTTTCTTATATGAGCCTGTTGTTAAATATAGCAGTCGTCCTATCTTTAAATGTCCACAACAAGAGTTGCAAATATTTAACAAGATAGACAATGCTGGGGAATAGGTTCCTGGGGACAAGCTTGACGGGAAGTTAGAAAGAATTGCATTACGAGGAGCTCCACTCTTCATCAAATTGTATTAGAATGATCAAATCAAGGAGTATAAGCCTTTGGATTCCAGAAAACGCTTGGACGATTGTTAACGTCTCGAGGACTGTGTTCTGCAACCCACACAATGGACTGCATATGGGGGCACAACGAGAAGGTGCCGAATCTGTACGTATAGAAGTAAGAAAATAATTTTTACATCGTATGTTCATGCATTTCTGAGAAAACTGTGAAAAGTAATACATAATATTGCAATTCGATCTATTTTTTTAAATAAGAAGATTAATTAGAAAAGAAATAGATAAGAGCTAATAAATAAATCTTGCGTTGAATTGTTGGAATCAGCTTATTACATTGCCAGT